TGTAAAACCTGTTAAACATATGGTGTAAAGTTAACTTTGATGTGCTCAAAATGTTTAAAATGGTCAGCATTCATAAAAAAATCTTAAAAACTGTATACATTCCAAAATATCAATGGATTGTGTTGTTCTTTCTGTGATTTTTCATTAGAAAGGATAATATTAGTTAACTCGTTTTCCCTTGAAACGTTGCAAATTTGTTTTTTTTCCACTTCCAAGCAACAATTCGATGATTTAACAATATCCACTCTTTAATTTAAGATTCGCAGTTAAGTCTCGCAGTTTTATTTAGCAAGATGTAATTAAGCTCGCCTTTGAAGCAGCGGCGCCGATCTCTCAAGAGCTCTGATAATGACGAGAACTGATTACTTCAACTCTCGACTGAGAACTGCTCTTGCTAATAGTCTTTATTGAATATCGTTTACATTTTATTGTTAATTAATTTTCCCTTTGATTTCGATATTCGTTGTTAGCTTGAAAATTAGAGGCAGCTTGTAAATAAGTGAGCTTGAAATGTCCTAATGATTCTTTGATATTATCTCCTTTCAATATTTGGAATGTTACATCAAAAATTTAAGAATTAAAGATCGTAAACGAAAAGAAAAATTAAAACAATTTTAAATATGTGAAAAGAATCAACTCAATAAGGCTAATTATTGTTCTAGGCTCATGCCATTCATAATTTAAACCCCACAATGAATATATTTTCAATTTCTGTGATAGTTTTCCCCTCTTTTTACATCAACGTTAATAATTTAACATCAATGTATATATAATTTGTTGATACTGAAGCAAAATTATTTTTGAAAGTACTTCAGTATTTTTATTTCTTAAAATAATGTGTTTTATAATAATGTTTGGGGAATTTCAACAGTTGCACCATCGTTGATTTTTTTGCGTTCGGTAATAGTTTTTAACCGTATAAATTACGATAAAAGCAAGTGTTCAAGTATAAAAAAGCTACAAACAATTTTTAATCGTAAAAAGTAACTTCATTTGGCAAAATATTGTTTATTCGTTGTGGCGAACCGATAAGTAATTTGGTAAGCAATAAAACGCAAGCAATATGCAGTAAACATTATTATCAGATCTTAAATTTTAGCCAAGTCTTTATCAAAGAGTTCTATTTGAAATTCTAATACCTCTTTATCACAGTGATTATTGTAAGATAAAATTGTTTATCGTCATATTAGAATGAGTATTGTATCCGCTCATAAACTGCTTTTAAATTAAGTAATATATTTGGGTGCAATTTAGCAATATAGAGAGAGTAACAACTGTATTTTAACTCTCGTGTTTTTATAATTAAGAGTTTATTATGATTTGTGTTTATAGAAACAAATTCGAGATCTACTGCCCTACCCGAACTTAATTTCGCCAAGTAAATGTTACTTATTTTGAATCAAAATAAACGGAACTGTTTACTATGACATTCGGTAGACGCTCTTTACTAAGAGGCCCTATTATATCTTTATGTAGTAAAATACATTTGCAGTGTTGTCCCTTTATTTCAAATATCTGTATTCTGATGATTTGCATTTTAGATTACAACAGCAACCATCCTTCACTTCGTATCGGCGTGAATAAACAGAATGAGCTTAGTAGCTTTCATTGGATTTTCTGTTATAAGACTGTAAATTGTTCTAAAAACTTATCCAAACGTTGAAATAAAATAATTAACAATTTCGCAAACACAATAACTTACTGGATCTCTTTAACTTACAAGCTAACGATATCGAAATCAAAGAGAAAATGAATTAACAATAAAATGTAAACGATATTCAATAAAGACTATTAGCAAGAGCAGTTCTCAGTCGAGAGTTGAAGTAATCAGTTCTCGTCATTATCAGAGCTCTTGAGAGATCGGCGCCGCTGCTTCAAAGGCGAGCTTAATTACATCTTGCTAAATAAAACTGCGAGACTTAACTGAGAATCTTAAATTAAAGAGTGGATATTGTTTAATGAGCGAATTGTTGCTTGGAAGTGGAACAAAAATACATTTGCAACGTTTCAAGGAAAAACGAGTTAACTAATATTATCCTTTCTAATGAAAAAGTACTTACAGAACAACTCAAACCTTTGATATTTTGGAATGTACATAGTTTAAGATTTTGTTTATGAATGCTGACCATTTTGAACACTTTGAGCTCAACAAAGTTAACTTTAAAGCATATGTTCAACAGGTTTTACATAGTTATCAGCTGGTGTTGCCAAAATAAATGGAAGAAATTTAATAATATTGAAAGAAACAGTATATCGTGTCCTAATTATCTAGCTGTGATAATAGTACAGATTGGTTTAAAATCTAACGTAAACCACACGACGCATATAGATTATAGATAATACAGTACATACATAATACCATATGCAAAACGAATTAAATATAGACCATCAGCTGTGCTGTGGTTACCATACGTTCTGACGGACACCGCTGGGAGCGCCATGTGACTAGGCGTACGCGCTACGTAACTACACGCCGCTCCCAGCGGTGTGCGCCAGAACCTATGGTAACCATGGTAACCGCAGCACGGCTGACAGGCTATATTTAATTTTTTTTGTCTATGATAATACCTAGATAAATAAAACCGACTTTGCAGCATTACCATATGACGATCTATAATTCTAATGTCTAATTGTAATCTATTGCTCCCACGGCTAATAATGGCCCAATATAGGCGGTAATATCAAGGCCAATAAATGAACCGCCTTGTACTTTATACCTGGATTAACCTAATTGAAATCTCAACAGTCTTACATTATATTGTAAGAAGCTTATACGCATCGAACACGAAATTGGTAGGAACTGATTGGGACTGATGTTCATTATTTAGGGGTTTCGTTCAGACTTTGCTGACTATAATCAAGACTTTCATTAAAAGGAAATAAATCTTGTTGTACTTTATGAAAGATCCATATAATTTTGGACTTGAAATTTAATTTGCACGTAAATCCTTAACTACTTAACCATATATACATAAGTTGACGTTATGTAGTAACAAAACTAGCGTTTGGACCGCTCCAAATACGTAAATAATTTCGTAAAATCTCAGACATTTAAATATAATTTTAAACAATTAGTTTTCCCATGAGTTTATTATTTTATAAATAATCTATTTACGGGAACTAGTTAATTTTTAACAACCGACAAAAATTTGATTAGAATATCCAGCAAGTTATAGAAACCAGCTGTCATGTCTTAAAAGCGTTTTATTTGTTCGAAAGTTTAAGTTTAATTAATATTACTTAAATTAAATTTATTACTCGCATTTGACCTCAATTGCCATTCTCTTTGCTGCTTTTGCCATCTCAGATGAGGAAATATGAACTACAGGGTTTTAGAAGCTACTCAGTAGTATCCTATCATTGTAGTAAGAAATAGAATAGAACATGAAATGTTGGTTTGTTTCAAACAAATCCTTGAAACTGTATTTCCTTACTGAGGTGGATTAAGGAATAATTTCTTTATTAGAATTTTACGTATTAATCAGCGCTCCTACACAAATATCAATTTTCTTCTTCTGACACTTTTCTATTTATATTTACTAATAATTAAAACATTTACTGAACCTCAAATTGGGGCTGATGATGACTGATTGTTCGTAATCAGTCACCATTATAAACTACGTAAGGCCTAGACGAATGCACCGTTTAGTAAATTGTATAGATGTATACATGTAGTTGTACACCTATACATTTTTTTCTCGAAGACGAATTGTATTATTAACCTTTTACGATAGAAAACTGTCAAACTGGAAATAAAGCTGTTTAGTTATATTTTTATTATTTAAAAAAAATAAAATCCTAGATTTAAATTCATTTTCGCAAGAAATACTGCAATTTCATTACATTTTCAAAGACCAGTAATTTTTTAAGTAATCTTTAATGGTGACACTGCACGAAAATATTGTCAAACATGCGTGGTGTATGCCTTGTTCACAAAGAAACCCAAAGAGTATCCATTTATGGACAACAATCCCTAAGAAGGGGAGTAGGCCTTATCGAAATGAAAATCTAGGCCAGCGCCCGAGGGCTAAGACATAAGTCACTTCAATATCAACCACTTTAGCCCATTCAATGGACGGCACTCGCTCGCTCCGCTCGTTCCATTGTTCAGGTGGTGCATCGCTCACTATCAGGGCCCTTCGCCTACAATCTGGCCCTTTTATTGTGGAATGCTTTCTACAGGACTACGCCCACTGTGACTGGGACAGTTTGGAACCTTTTGAGATGTTTATAGACTCGCCAGAGTTGTGGTGTGTTAGAAGTCAAGCTTAACAAGGGTGTAATGTCTTGACCCTTTTCAAATGGGCACCACATGTTTACCTTGGAAAGTCAGGCTACAAATATATGTATCGTTATTAAATTATTATTTTATTTAAAGATTAGTTTTTCGCCACAATTACATGAAATCCTGTAATTATTTCGGAAGAAAATTAAGTGTAAAACCCCTATTTATTTAAATAAGCAAAAACGTGGCGTTATCGTTTCACACAAAATACATTTATGAGCTTGTGGCACAAAATATGTATTACATGTAAGACTTCAAAACATTCTTTAATTATACATAGTTTTCTACGTAAGATCAACGGGAGAAATGTTTAGTCAATATGCATTCACTAAAACATACCCAACATGAAACATTGGTAAAACGAAGCCTTTGTTTACAACTGGATGATAAGTTTATTTGATTTTGATTGTAGATGAGCTAATCATATACTAAGCCGGCTCATCAGGCAGGGTCCGTATTTTAATCTAAGTGACGAAGGAGTATTAAACAAACTAGTCGACAGCTTTAATCCTGAATTTGTCTGTTTCTTTTTCCAAGACCATTTATTACACGATGATGATCAAGGACACCCCGTTTCAATTTGAAACCTTAAAAAAACTTCTTAATTTTCTCCTAATTAAATAAATAACCTTCTCATTATGTGACTAAATCCACCCATCCAGCTATCTACAAATTTGATAAATTACTGTGAAACATGCAGGATAAAGGTACTCACAGGTAATGTCCAGTCGGACCTCGGCACTCTGACTCTTGGCAGGATAACTCTCATGCACCGCGACACACCGAAGACTCCTCTGGTGGTGGTCCTTGTCCAAGGATATCTCCAGGACAGAGCTGGCCACCCAGGTCCTCGGGTTGTCTATCTCAGGACTGTTGCTCTGACTGCTCATGTTGGTGACGTCAACTTCACCTGGACAACAGCAGTGACGTCAGAACAAATGTCAGGCACATCCACGAGTAACGTCAATATTTTTTTGTCCTTGGACGCTAGGCACGAGCCCAGAATTGTTTTTCACATTACTTCAGGCTAGACCTAGGGGTTACGGGATTATCACTTAGATAAAATCCATTGGTGATTTGGCGGGATTTGAACCCGGGACCCCAGGAACCGGAGCCCCGCACTCTAACCACTAGACCATTTTGCTCCACATTGTAGTAGTCAACATTTAACGTGTGGAAGTTATGACAGATGTTAGCCAAATATGAGTGACGTCATGCAAGTGTGAATATACAATGCATGGTGGTTACATCTGTGAATGACGTCATAGTAGGCCTAACAATCAGAAGAACACGTGGTATATAAGTGGTGTCATAGTTACACGTCTGAAATGAATAGTACTTGGTGTTGTTTAAAATAAAATGAACAATAGGCAACAGTGTCTTAATATATCTTTAGAAGTGAGATACGATAAAAACGTCAATCAATTACAGGTACTATATAAATGACACAGAACTTGACACATACAACTTTTTTTAGCTATAACTGGGATTTATTTACACATCAAATATATCAAGAAATTCATTCAATTCAACTACTATCAATAAAGCAATGTTCTTTACGATACATTCATCGTTATTATAATCCACACAACGCAAGGCAGAAAAGCTAAACTCAATAAGAAACAAATTTAAGAAATGCTACATAAAGTTACCTCACAAAAGTAAATGTACACAATCACTACTAATAACAAGAAACGACTCAGCGATTCTGCTTCTTTATGCGCCCTTAAATGCTTGGCGCCCGTTTCCTTTCTTTTATTTTACTTAAAACGTATTTTCTGCTTTAAACGGATTTTTGATATAAAACGGGTTAGTTAGAAACCAATATTATCTATAGAATACATTTCTGAATATTCAATGTAAAAATGTATAATTGTTTAATTGTTTGTTTAAAACAGAGTTCAATAAAGGGTATACATTGGTGGAGATTGCAAGGAAATTATTTTAAAATAAATTTAAATATTTTCATCATCCCGTTTAGGAAAACGGTAGACAAGTTCGTTTAGTAATGAAGCACAGATGTCAATGTGTTTGTATAGTTTCACTCTGCTTCTTTTCACTATATTATTATTATTACTGTTTTAAAAATTTATTTCCAGGAAACCACGGTTAGTCATACGTTTCATTAAGCATTAATCTACTTACGGAAAGCGTTCCTGTTACAACTAATCAACGAACACTTAACTCCTCTACGATATCAAGTTAATGAGAAATTTCTAAGTAGAACAAACTATTTAAAACTCTTCAAAGTTTCTTGAGGACATGAGATAAAGTGGATTGATAAAGACACTCTTGTATATCTTGAGTAGTTTAGTCTCGGACTGGACAATAACTTAGCTGATAACCCAGCTCAGCGACACACAACCCTGATAACAGGGTGGCATTACCCTTATCAGTGGACTGGCACCAGGGTCCGTCGCCAGTACTTTTAAACTTCCTGTTAGTGGGTAAAATGGGGTTGTAAACATTTATGTTTCACACGATTTTGTAGTTTTATTTTTGAGGAAGGGTGATAGTATAGTATTCTTTTATGTTATAGCTGGGGATTTTGTTTGTTACTCATACGTACAACATGGAACATTTAGAATATATGGATGCAAACATGAACGATATATTTTTATAGACAGATACTAATTGGCGTAATGATTTTTCTATTGCATGAAATTGAGTTTCTTTTGTTTTATATGTTATAAGGAAGAGTTGGTGTGTGTATTTGTCTGTTTGTTCCTACTGAATGCTACAATCACCATGTGATTTACGGTATGAGCCCCCCCCCTCCTAAAGGGAAAATGCGTAAAAGGAGCATATAGATTTGTAAGGTATTTATTTTATAAGATTTTTAAACGCAGGGACTTTTTAAAGGGTAATAAATTAATAAATCCACCACTTACCTGTGAGTGCATGATATGTGTTTTAAAAAGAGTTTACTGCTTAGAAAATTTCAAATAGGTCATTTGTGGATTATATTTAGATTATCAACTCACACATATGATATTTCTAGAAGAAAAATATCATTAAAGGATCATACTACCTACCTAAAAACCACATAAGCTTGGCCGGAGGGTTGCCATACTTGCTGAGGCACTTGACCGTGGCTTTGTCCCCAGACTTGACCGTCACATTGTGTCCAGGCAGGACGACGTTGCTACGGTGTTCTATCCTGGGCCGCTGTGGTTGGACTGAAAATGAGACAAAGACTTAACTGTAGTGAAACAGCATAGCATGGAAATAGAAAGATTCACGTATAGTATCAATTAAATGTATCACTAAAAGAAGACACGCAATCTAAACATACCATAAAAATCATCCCTACCAATCCTTTGATAGTACGTTTTTCGCCCCACTCAGTAGCGTTAAAAGCATTCCGTTGGCGTAGAAGATTGAAGCGTCCCAAAATGTGGGAGACTGGAGAAAAGTGATAACAATCTACCACTTGAGTCTCCGCGGGACGTCCGCAGGTCTCGTACATTGGCCTGACGCCTGACAGACGACTGGGACGACCAGTGTCGCCGGAATGTGGAGAATCGCGGAGAGGTGACGGAACGAAACATGTGACACAGTCACCATAACTTGGAACTAATTGGGGTTGTGACAAGGGCATTACACATGGCGAATCGGAAATTCAAATGTGGACGTCTAAGAAAAGGGAAATCTGGAATGGAGAAACCGATGCTGATATCTTGCGTACTGCGCCCTGATTCGGGGAAGTTTGTCTTGAATCCTTACTCTCGGAGCTTAGAGCCTTCATTGTCCACCTTAACTTAACTATATAAAATTAGACACATTCCAAGGAATCGAAGTAATTATCATCTAATCCACCAATGCTCTCCAACAAGCATTCTTTAGAGAAGTTATACAGTACTTGACTAAATCTCTAAGATCCTCGAGCATAGGACCCATACTACTAACACTGGGCCCAACTACCTCCCCCATGCTCGCTTCGCTCTTAAAACTTGTCCAGTGCTTTACCTCTCACCTTCAAAAATAATTTAATCCCCCTTCTTCAATCTTCCTGCACCAAATATTTAGTTTCTACTCCTCTGTTCCTCTCCGATACAGTTCCTGGTGATCCTCCATTTTATATCCTTTCCAGGTGTCGCTTGATTATTTTAATTACACATTTTTTTCAAAGGCGAAATAGTGTTGTTTCGTGTAAAAAACTATATGTTTTAAACCTCAAAGTTGTAATTATTTGTATAATTGAAACTATAGGGAGTGCCCTTATTTGAGGACTTATAATTGTATTTATTAGGGATTTAATATTAATTCTTACATTTAAAAATTTTATTAATAAAGTATTGTTTAATAAATCGTTATTATTGTCATGCAAAATGTACCTCGTAGAAAATTCTTTTAAATAGTCAATGTAAAAGCTTTTTTCTGCGTTTCATGTTACATCTCAAATTGCTCAAAATTTTGGACTAAAATGTATCACTAAGGTAATCGATTGTTAATAAAAGTAAACAAAATAACTATATCTTTACTAATTAAAATTTTATATTGCTTTTCAGTAGGTGTATATTTTATCATATAATTTAGTTACAATATTTTAGGGGAGAGAAAAGGTTAAATTTAATCAATAAAATGTATGATTGCCTATGTTTTCTGATCATATTAATTTATGTTCCAATTATTGTCATTTAAATAAATTAAAATCACACTTCGCCTACTGCAGATCCAAATTAACGAAACATGAATTTTTATTATTTTTAGATGAAGTTAGGGTAATATATCAACAGAAGCGATATATAATTCATAGAGACCCTAATTCACGACCGAAGGTAATTCCCATCTCAAAGAGTGACTCACTCAGGCGATTTCTGGTTATTATTTTCCACCCTGCTAAGCATTATGTCCCTCCTACGGCTCACTATCTTCGCCTGTTCTAGTGAAGCGTAAAGAACAATTCCAAGAGATTTCCAAGTCGAGGAATTGAAAAATTACTCTTCCATTAAAATGCTCTTTGTAATTTTTACATTTATGCAAACAGTTATAAGAAATCGAACAACCGAAGTGCAAAAGTAATTTTGTTATTTCAACATTAATTTGCTAGAAGAAAAGTGTATTAAAAATTGTAAAAATGTGGATTTCTAGAGTAAAGTATTTACTTGAGCGTTGATTTTCGTAATGTGCATGTAAGCATAAATTGTTTTATATACGTTTCAATTCAACTCCTTATTGTAAATGTATTAAAACAGCTCATCAATATACATACTAGCTGACGCACACCATATTTCGATTTAGTGATACTATTCTATTTATTGAGATCACCGTTAATTATTTTATATTTAGATCACAAATATCAATATAAATAAAATTTTTGGTGAGCACCCCTAAAAAAAATTCTATAGATTCGAGTACAATTTTATGGGGTATAAAAGTATCACATGGATTTAAATTATCATATATCACATACTGAAAACAAATGCTTTTACATTTTGATTTACATGTGCTAATATTTTATTTTTAAATGTGGATTTGCTTTTATTATAATGCAGTTATAGTGCAAATATGACATTACATATGCGAACATTAGACAAATGTTTAAACCATTATGATCAAAAATAGTATTGTTAAAATATTAAATATGTGAATGTACTTTCGTCTGATTTTAGACCTATCCAGCATAAATTTAAACTGTTAGTTTTGCAGATGAAACTACGGTCTTTACTATAAGAAAACTTCCTATATGGCTGAACAAAAAGTTACTTTTTTGGTTCGACTGGTGTTTTTTAGACAACTGTTAATCTTTTAACACAATAAAATAAAATAATAAATACATTCCAAAAAGCTCAAACTGGAAGAGGCGTAGAACAAATTTCATAGGAATCAAATATATTAAAGATATGAGGAAAATGATACACTTTATATAATTTAGTGTTTAGGATATAGTATGCAGGACATAAGTTACACGACATATATTATACGTACATGGTCTAAGATATAGGATACCGAATGTACACGATAAGTGATATTTGATACATAATATAAGATGCACCCAATGTAAATGTATGTATCCCTTACTGTCAGTATTGACATATGTAAAACATACTTCCTTAAGTGGGTTAGTCTATGGTACTGACCTCTAACCACAAGTCGTACAGGTGAACTTGTCAGCGCATCCTGAGTGGTGAAGTCACTCGCTGTCACCTGACACTCCCACTCGCCGTCGTCGAATTCGAGCGTCGCTGCTCGAATCCAGAGACTGCAGTCGCCGCTCTCCTGGTTCCCCGCCCACTCATACTTCTTGAGGTAGATGCCGACGGGCTGCAACAGAAGAAGTTGTAAGTTTCCAAAAAAAATCCTAAGAGTTGTGTTCTGTGGAAGTATGTACAGTAATCGTTTCAGTGAATAAAGGAAAACTTATAAAATTTAGGAATAATTTATCCATTTGTGCTCGATTATCATAACAGTGGTGTTATTTTAGGTGTAAGCTATACCCTATAGGAAAGTATCCACTAAAAGGTTTCTAGTGGTTCAAGAAACACTATAGTTGAATGGAATAATTGAACTTGAAACATGATGTTCCCTTTAAAAGTTGTGTTATCTTCAGTTACAGGTAGTTTTGTAAGTAAAAGTAGTAATCTGTTGTTGCATTAGCTATATAGTCAATCTTAGTAGTCATTATTGTTTAATTGTTGTGGTCTGTAACCCAAACTACCCCTATAACTATAATAGTCACTGGTAACGTAATGTGGGTCCTACTTTAGAGACATACAGCTTGACCATTGAAAGGTTTACTATTCTCTACATAAGTAAAGTAGTTGAAAAATACAGATTTAAATGAAAAATAATGGTATTGAATTTACTTTTCAAAAATTTAATATACATAGTGGGTGAATATGTACGATCTATAACATAGGATAGAATTTAATTGGGGGTTGCTATTACCAGCATTTAAACCATACAATCTCAAAATAAACTACGACTGTAATTTGTTTGTTGTAGTGCTGAAACAAAACACTATCATTTAATTGTTGATTTTTTCAAACAAACTAACGGAAATCCTTCAAAGATCTTCGCCTTACATTTGGTAAAAATAAATGTAAATAGATATTTATAATGCTGCATTACTAAGTAAGCTACCTAAAAAACGACCAAACTGTTACATTCCACAGTTGGCGAACCTTTACGAAACCAGCGTTTGGATAATCTTAAAACATTAAAACAACTACTAACACTGAAACACCCAAAATAGTTGTATTTTCGCACATAAAACAGGAGAGCTCCTAAATGAACCGTCTTAGCCTTAAGTTAATGAAATCAGATAGCCCAGCTCCCCGTAGTTTTTAATTAGGAAGATTTAGAGGTAGTGCGGTTGTTGTTTATTTCAAGCAGGATCTACGCTGTCCTGACACGGCACCCGGGGCTCGACCTGGGAAATTGAGCCATTTGGATTCTTCTCGAGGACAAACGACGTGTACAACGTAGCTCGTGTCATGTTTGCTACGCGTGTGTGTGCTTGTGTGCGTCTTTGTGTGATCATACGTGTTGTGCCCCCTGTATCACATATCTACCGTCCCCCAGCATGCCCCCCTCTAATTACGAGTTGTCCCCCGTTGAGTCAAACGACGCCACATTTCTCCTAGAAGCACCTAGCTTCGTTACGCGAGAGACAGACTGAGATCGTTATCGTTATCGTTTAATCTGCCTGAGGAGCAACGTTAATTTTATCGTTAATGGCGAGGAAGGCGCTCAGAAGATTATGGGGGATAGTGGTGATGTTAGTTTGCAGTTGATGTTTTCATTTAAAAGAAAATAGTGAGGCAAAGTAAATGTTTCTGATTGTCTTATAACGTAAAATCTATTTGGGGTCTATATAGCTGACTATTTGGTGTGAATCGTATTTTACTTATAAATACCAAAGATGCGGCAGGTATAATTATTTGAGACAGAGGATTTGAGAGAATGTATGCCTGGTCAAAGTCAATATATGTCTAGGTAGCTTAGCGGTCATTGCGCTCGTCAGATAATCTAAAGGTCACTGGTTCGTTCCTGAGAAAGTCAGCTGCTTCCTAGGTTAAGAAACGACTCGTATTAGACAGTGACAAGGGTAAAAAGGAATCTTGTTAGGTTGTACAGTTATCATTCATTCTCATGGTGAGGTAGCCTCTGGATCACTAAATTTAAGCTAAATGGTTTATTTTACCTGGCTTCGTCAAGTTATCCTGCTTCAGTAGTGTTTATAATTATTACTATAGTTTCTACTACTATAGTACTACTATAGTGTACTACTATAGTCATGACTCATCTTCCGGCGTCGCCACACGTTCCTCCCGTGATTAATTACACTGGCCAGTTTTACAGTATTATATTAGTTTTCTGTGTTTTTCATGTTCGTGTATGTGTTTTCAGTGTTAACGACGAATCTAACCAAATTGGTTAGATGACTTATTGATGCTTTTGTATTTTACCTGAAGGTGGCCTTAAGTCCGGAACAATAGTAGTATACTACTAAAGCAGGATCACTTGACGAAGCGAGGTAACATAAACCATTTAGCCTATAATTCATTGATAGTGTCATTGTTATAATTATTATAATGGCTTTTAGATGCCATAATGTGATGTTTCGGTACCCATATGTCGAAAAAACAAAAGTATAAATCCCTGAGTTCAGGGAAAGTTAATCTTAATTTTAGAGCGACTCCCGCTAAAAGCCATACTATAGTTACAAAAACGATTCATCTTATACATTTTTATCAAATTTACTATTATAACACAACGAACACCGATTTTATCCATGGTCAGTGTTTGCAAATTCAAAAATGCAACGTAAATTTCGATACTACTGGAGATTATCTCCGATAAGATCACTGGGTAATGTAAGCTCTACGGCAATGAACCAATGAACGGTGGGATCACGACTCTTCATGTCGACTCAAATGATTCGAATCATATCCGTCACACTCCATTGGGCTGGAGATTAAGCCTGTTTGATTTTTCGAATAATCGGAAGCGGTGGGGCCTGACGAATCATTCGCCGCTGCAGGATTCCATATTCTCTACACCTGAACTTAAAACTTGCAAAACTTGAAAGTTGTGGAACCAGACGCGCTGATTGGAAATTACTTTTGAGTTTTACATCGGTATGGCAGTAAGGTTCATAACAGACATTTGCGTTGGATTTTCCTTCTTGAAGTTTTCTTTGTTTACAAATGGCTGATAAACTGATTAGAGCGCAGGACTTCATTCTAGGAGGTTTGGGTTCAAAACTTAGCGATAACCAATAGCTGTGCATCAGAGCCCATGAAACCAAAAAGGTGCCTTAAGATAGGAGAAAACTCTCTGCAAAGATGATATCCTTCTACTAAAGTTTATCTTTAGTAGAGCTATTTGAGGTGTTTATTTTTTATGTGTGCAATACATTTTTGAATCAAATGCTAAAAATATGTAAACAAAAATTAATAGTTGAACTGGTTGATACTGGTCGTGTCAAACATCCCAAAACACATCCAAGAAAAACTACTTGGCTCATGGTTTCATTCAAAACATGATAATTTGTTTGAGAGAAATTAAAAAAAATATAAACAATTGGCTTGATTTGGTTAAAAATCTAATTGTTTCCATTGCCCTCACTGAGAACTCATTAGTTTATTTTGTAATTATCTAGTGAAATAGGAAACCAGGCAAACTCGACAAAATCAATTCAACTAATTAACAATTACTGAAGTGTCATTACTTTTATAGACGAGTCAGTTCAGTCACCCAGAGATAATAAGTGTTTAGATTATTTTTTTATGTTTTGTGATCGCTTAGTTTTTTACATGTTTGAGTACCTCATTATTCCTTGTTGCAAGCTCGTTTGTTGTATTATTTTGATTTTATTTCATTTGCACATGCTTTTTGTGGATTATTTACATTACAAAGTTTCAAGGTTGGTTTTGATATAGAAATTATGTTTTTAAAAAACTGTTTTTTACCTTACATCGTTTTGTATATACATTTTCTTGCGTCGTTGGCCATTTTAACTACGATTCGTGAACACCAATATAGTTTGTAATTTTAAAATATATCATCAATATAACAAATAAATAATCATCCAATGTCAGTAATGAAAATATTCTAGGAAAATGTCTTTGTACAAACAAGCCTATTTCCAGTTTTAACAGTTAAAACAATGAGACAACACTATAGTAAAAATTTATTTTACCAACATCAACAGTAAACAAATGTGTTGTTTATTCATAACTGACCAAATATCTCTTTCTGCCTATTTTCGTTCTGACCTAACCAACTACTACACCTTGATTTTGGGACTATGTAATATTCCACAATTACAGGCTGTGCCAAAATTAATTTTGTTCTTGGAAAGTAAGTTTTCCACTTTCACACCCTACCAAAAGCTCCACTGAATCTTATCGTTGACGCAATATGAGGGATAAGCCAGTTTATGTGTCTCATCAGGTGACGAACACCGTCACAAATCCCGTATAACGTGGCACAGACAACGCTAACTGAGTTAGAAGATTGGGATTTGGAGAGGCAACTTTGGTCTGAGATGTTGGCAACTTGGGCAACAAAACTAACCTAACTCCGGCGTCGAATTGGATTGACTTCACAGTAAAAGTTGTCTGATGGAGTTTGCACAAACAGAAGGTCTGGTGAATCACGGCATTGGTTGAGGAAAGTCGTTACAGCATTAGAACTGCGGTAGATCGGTCGATAGTATTATGTGGCGCTTTCAATTCAATCGGATAACTATTGAAATGCCACTTTGAAATACAGCACTATTGAAATATTGATTTGAAATATTGCTTGTGGTTACGGTTTTGACGTGTCTGTGGGTTTAAGGAATATTTGTGTTGTAGAATAGGTATTTTACAGTGTTCAATATACATGAAAATGTGAATAAATATTTATGTAGTTTTGTGTAAAAATCTAACCTACTCAAGATATAAAACATTGGTTTTACTAATATAAGTGTATTAGTTAGACTGGGTGGTCTCAGAGAATCTATAGCATTTGGGGTGGAACACTTCTGCTCCATCTACAGTGCTAATGGATTTTGCTGAATGCCACAACCCACTAGTTGGTAGCCGACCTTTCGCTGTAGACTCGCAACTAAAAAAACGCCCATGTATCAGGCGTAGACATCAAGGAAGAGGAGATTTTAGTGAATAGTCTGCTTGGTAGTGTTCTCACTGCAGGATACCACCTGTGTGCTTAGAACATACTTCTCTAAACATTATCGTTCCTAACACTTCAATGCACAAAGATCATTTACCCATTTTACCTCTTGAGCCATAATAATGATCAAAGTATGACCCATTACTTCATCTTTGTAATTTACACAATTATGTCAGTACTCGGTCCCATATCAGAATCAGTTCTATTCATTTCCAACAATCGCTTCAGTCATTGAACTTGGGCTAAAACAATTTCTCTTGAGGCCCTAGCGACTCTTCTCCCAATATTCCAAAAAAGACATTCTTCCACTTGGATGGAAAAGTAGACAACTCCTCATTATACATTCTGGACCTTAAGCATACTACAAATCATGATTCATTCAATGTTATAGGCCTATTAGTTTGTCAGAATTATTTATAATTCATCAATGTTTTGATAGGTAGAACCGTTCTTCAACACCATATCCACGGTGAAGGTATAGTTTCTAGCCAGCACTATATAGACCTACTAATGTGGGAAGTTGCTCCATGGATGACTAATTTTTAATAACATAACCATACAAATTTAATGGATTTATGAATCCATCACTTACGTTTCCATACCTCAAACCGTTCCTCAACCGTTCCGTGGTGAAGGTATAGTCGTAGCCGAGCACCGTATGCTAAGGTCGGTTTGCATGATGCTCTATTACCCAACCACATAATAACACAGAAGCCAGACTACCCTGGGGCCACACTCGCCGTTCTGGCCGAGGCATTCTGGGCTAATTGTTGTCCTCTACCTCACCCGAGTCACGCACTTTATTTCTGTAAATTGGATTTCCAAATGACGACCGTCGCTGGCGGTTGCTCCACGGCTGTCTGTAGCGGTTATGCAGCGGCTAGCGGACGAGCGGCTAGCGGACGAGTGCGGTCATTGTAATCAGTCGTCACGCTGATGATTTTTACTAGCTAATGTTTTCTTTGTCCTGCTTTCCCTATTTCCTGTCCCCGTTGTGGAGATTGCGGTAAGTGTTTATTTCCCTTATTTTATTGTAAGTAAATCCACTTTAAGGGAAAGCTGGAATAGTTGAAATTTTGTTGCGGTGGTAAAGTAGACTATTGTGAAATGTAAATAAAATATCTTGGGATAACACACAGCTTTATAGTGTCAATTCAATGTGACTGCATCTATAACACTTATATTATTGTTCATAGAAACGGCAAGAAAGATGTTTAATAATATATGGTATTCACTTACATTCCATTTTTTCATTTAACCACTTGAATGGAACTGCCTCTCTGCTAATCCAACAAATCGTTAATATTTTAATATGTAAAGTTATTGGTTTAAACACAATAATCTATGGTTGAGGTGCCTGTTCCTTGAGTCTTCCTTGAGTAAAGTTATGAGTCAGTTTTACGTTTTATCAGTTTATTTGTTCTCTTGTTACGCCACTAAGTAAAATAAATGCTTAAAACTTTACAAACATTTGTATAATGCTAAAAAGTTTTTTGAAGCTCCTAAGGGTGCTAGAATCTCATTTGTGTTACATGATGGTCATGCCCCGTTGAATAGCACAAGTAGGCCTACCTACTATTTACTACTTAGCCACTTAACAATACTGTAATCACTGTTACGACTGACCTTATTGTCCTTCTGCCAAGAGCACGTGCCTCTCTTGTTGAATATCTTACAGTCAAGTCTGATGTCTTCTCCAGGGTTGACCTCGGAGTAATGAGGCTGCTTATCAAACTTCTGCAACGTTGCCGCATCTGGAACAATGACACCACCTTCAGTTACTTCATAGTTTAAAATAACACTCAATCTGTGAAATGGCCATAACATCGTCTAGAGACACTTCTGTTTGTGTTGGAGATGTCATGAATCGGAGTCGTCTAGCGAAATGGACAAGGTTTGTAAGAATGTACACAATTGATCATCAGATTGCAGCAACATCTTCGCATGAGATGCCTCAGCTTACGAGGTGTCAGCTAGAGTCAAAGATAATATGTCCATCTATGCAAACTTCGATTGTAAATAATCGAATGTGTCGAGGGTAGTTAGTTGTTGGTGATTATCCGAATTGTTCATTGTTGTATTAACTCCTGACTGTGGATTGAATATTTGAAACATTCTTATAACTAACTTAGGAATCGTTATTAGTTGGATATTTCGCTTCCTTGGTAATGGCTGCTTATTAAGTAATGCTGAAGAATGTTTTCCGAATACATACACGTAATGTTCTTTGATTAATTATAGTTTTTGGTTGAGCTAGGCCTTTTGACCCACTCTAAAAAACTTGTTACCGTAAGGTTTTTATGGTAAAATTTTACTATTACTATTTATTGCATCCCTGTATATGTTCACCTGTAACATGGTTAACCAAAATATCTTCAGTTAGTACCGAAGTAATAGTGGAACAGAGTTTTACCTATGCAACTCATTTAGCTTACTACTTTAAAAAGTACAAAGAAAAATCTAACCTCTTTGAGTACTGAGCACTAATTATATCCCTTCACACACAAAATATGCAATTGCTTTGACACAATAGGCAACGTATCATGTTTACAGCTTAAGAGGTAAAATTTCAATTAGATTAACGCCCTAATTCCGTAAGGCGGGTCAGCGATGTCCTGAGGGAATTACCGGGACAATGGGCAATCAACCCGACTAATCGGTTTATGGGCAATCTACGCATGTTGGGCAAGCAGGAAGGGGGGTTAAGTGATTTGTATTAGTCTTGATAGCTTCCGTGTCGTTGGAAGCGGTCTTAATGACATCGATAGCAGATCCGATGCGATTACTCGATCTACTCATTCGAAGTGATACGTAATTGAATCTTCCGTGTCGGTAGAAGCTGTCAAAATGAAAATGACTTCGGTGTAAACAATTGAATCTTAAGTTTCGGTGAAAGTGGTTGTGACGACAACGATAGATCGATAACACTCAATGTACTCGTCCTAGGTGACACATAATCAAAGGTAGAGGTATCCATAGTAAGCTGAATAGGAAATCCTTTGTGATTACTCGATGTACTCATTCTAAGTCCTTAACGATATAATCTTCAGTGCTGGTGGAATCGGTCATAATGATATCGATAGCAAATTCGATGCGATATATCGATGTTCTCATGTTGCTAATATAGTTTTTAATATTATAATATTTGTATATAGTTGGCTAGCTGAGTGGTTTCTTAACTGGACCTAGTTGACCCAACAGATGTTTGGGCTCTAATAAAATGCTTGTGGCTAAAGGATCGAAGGATTGAAGCTGGTGTTAGTCAATAAAAATACTGTCAGCTAATATTCAGCTAAGATTGTCCTTCAGCAAATTTCGTGGCAAATGTAATGTATCAGCACAAATAAATCAGACGGATACATACTTGTTAAAATACGTTTCGATACTGAATAAGACATTATAGAGGCCAGCTGTAGAAAATTTTTATATTTTGATTTTACTTAAGGAATACGTAGTGATTATAAGAATGAGCCACTCATATAGATGGCTCTAACTATTACAATTAGATTTTTAATTTTTGTTTATAATATTATTTCAATAATGATTTTATTTCAACATTAAAATCAAACAATCATAATTAAATATTGTTAATCAAAAATGTCACAGTAAATCCTATCAACACTTCAATCACTCCATCAAAAACAAAAAGTTGTAATATCTCATAAAAATATCGAATGTCAGCCGGTGTCAAAAGCTGAAGTAGTGAAAGATTCGTTAAATGTTGCCATCAAGTGTCAAACGCAGTGAAAAATTAATCTCGTTACTGATTTTATCAATCGCTCTTGCATCAGCGTTCACCCGCTTCGTCACTAACAATTCATTCGATTGTTTACCTAATCGAATGGGCCTTTGGAAAATATAATGTGAAACGTTACATGAATGACATGTTGACGTGTTTTCGCTTCTTTCAAAGCTTCATCTGTTCAAAACAGTTTTACAGTTGTTTCAGAAACGCGGATTATGATATTAGATATTCAAAAGATATTTTTCATTCTCTTTGTCTTCTTATAATACTGTTATAATTGACAAGAAATATAAAACGTTTGATTTGTACTCAGATGTTTTGTGCTCTAAATTACATTATCAGGCTTTGTTTTGCAGTTGATATTTTTCAGACATCTTCAACAGTTAATGTTATAAATAATTTGATTTTGTAGGTAGGTAATACAAATATGATCGATTAACAAAAAGATTAAGATTATTCACTCATTTCTATTTAGTTCTATTATATGACACCCAAATAAAATACTGACACTAATTTAAACAATACATAGTAATATGATGGCACCTCGAGGCAGTTATAACAAATCTGTACCCCACTTGTGGCATCATAGCTGATGTGTTACTATGTCCGAAGAGCCGTGTAAATACATTTTAAATCGTGAAAATATGTTCCGGAGCAGCCATATGTTAATGCAGTTGAACCAATAATTGTTTAATTATATGTTTTGACTTAATAACTCACAAATATTTTGCTCCAACATCAACAGTATTGGATTTCATTTAGATGTCGGATAAGATTGTAATCAACAGAAATCATCTTCCACACCAAACACTACTCACAAACCCTTAGCCGATTAGCTGAGAATAATTGACCATTGTTTTGTTAATTCTCTCAAACCATCCGCCACGCCCAGAGAATGAGGTTGTTAAATTAATTGATGTTCATTTACAGCTTAGATGTTCTTTGCACAGGTTGGATATTCTAAAGTCATATGGGGTAGTATGAGGAGATTTATGTTATCATTGGGGTGAATACATTCGTTGATTACTTCATTAGTTGATTTTATTGGTTCGTTGAAGAAAAGAAAGCGATATTAAGGTATATGGTCTTGTAAATAAATATGAACAAAGACCAAACGGTTGTGATTTTAGTTAAACAGTGATTTAAATGTATGTGCTGAATTTAGCGTACACAATTAATTTGTAAAAAAAATCTATTTAAGTAAAACAATCTTTGTTGGGTGTTTTACGTTTTTATACTACCTAACTAATAGAACTTTTTTCAAAAACTATATTTCAACCAATATTACAGGCAAATGGGTAAAAAAAGCATCATTAACAAGTTAAGAAGGGTTTTTGACCATTCTTTCAACAAACCTGGGACAGTAAATATATTGCTGAAACTAATTCGTAAAATTATTGCGTAAAAATCAGTTAAAATTAGGTACATACAACATAATAGTCCCTTTCCCAGAGGTTCATTGATATGAAAAAAATACCTCCAATACGCAATATGGATAGAATAGTTAACTCATAAACACCATAGGTACATGAACCCGTAAATAGTATTAAATTAAATTACCTTACACCAGAATAAAATAGTACCTTTGTACAACTGTGGAATAAATTAAATTACATCGAACTTTCAAGAGTGAAATGAATGAAACTGACATGAGCCTGAGTGTTTAGTAGTTATTGTTTGAAAAGTTGTTAAAACGTGTTGACAGAGGATATTTAAGTTAAGATAGCTTTGCCATCAGAATCGATCATTGGATTTAGGTCCTACCTGTCAGAAGTCGTTGCGACTTAGCCGCGCGAAACTGTCAAAGCTCCAGCTGTTCGGGGATTTTCACTTGACAATGTAACACTCTGTGAACTACGACTTTTATTTAATATAATGTTATTAAAAATATATTGTAATTTCGAATTTTTTGACATTATTCAAGTGAAAAATATTTATTGTATGGGTTTTCGCACATCAATCCAGTTGTCAAGTTTGTTGAACTTCATAATAATCATTAGGCCTTGATTAGATTTACATCATTTTGTTGTATTTGTTGATAGTTACAAAACAATAATATAAGTATTGTTCTCTTAGTCCGACTTAAAACTAAAACTGTACAGTAACATGAGTCTATGTCCAGTTTTTGGATTTGTTTTGTATTTAAGCCAACACTAAATTGATATAATTATTAGTTATTCAGAGTTATAGGTTCAAAAATTGTTCATTGAAAATGTATTTTGTTCCAAGTATCGAAGTTATATAGGCTATCATTATTTATTAGTAAACAAAATATAATTCTATTGGATAAAAAATAGATTACAGCATAGTATAAAATCACTTAATTATTATATAACACAATCTTAAATGAAATCGTGATTTTAAAACCTAGTGCAGAATTTTAAAAATTTCCAGATCTGGATGAAAGAAATCATTGTTCCAACTAAATAGTCGTGGAACTATTTTGTTTTGTTTTATGATTTACACATTGGTTTTCAATACATCAACTGCAGTACAATACAAAACAAAGTGGTACATTTAACATATAAAAGTATTAAGAGACCGACATCAGCAACATTCGCACCAAAACAAACATCCCGCTATGAAAAGCCTTAGTTACCAAGCCTGAATCCCGAAACTCGTTTCGACGATATAAAGCCGTAATCCACATACATTTTGGATCAGGCGAGGCCATAGAGACAATACGGCTTTGGCGTTGTCCACTTTCGATAAATATGGAAATGGCCTTTGCCACCCGTACACATAAATTCACTCTCGATTTCGACCGAATACAAGGGTTTTCTTGTCTGGTGCGTGAGTGTGAGACTCGTGATAGGATACATATGCATGAGGTCGAGTAAGCCCACCCGGGCAGACCGTGGGTGGTCTGGACAAGTCAATCTACCTTTGTCTTGCGCGCTCACACACACACTCACACACACACACGTGTACTGTACACACCCACACACGCACACGCACACCTGCCAAACTTGTAGATAGCTGCTACCGTGGCACGCACCGACCCCACGG